GCATAAGGCGGGAACCCTTTGTCCCTTAAATAGGGTGACCAGACAGCAAGCGTAAAAAAATTAGGACGGGTAGGGGGGGGGAGGGGAGGGGGAGTTGTAATAGGTGCCTATATAAGACAAAGCCCCAAATATCAGGACTGTCCCTATAAAATCGGGACATCTGGTCACCCTATATTTAAAGTACTACAGAACTGCTAAGTAGTATTATTCACCATATACAAAACAGTGACCAAGAAATGTGGGTAGTTAAAACATCATGAACTAAATGTATTAAATTACAACTGCAAAATTATCTTCAACATTTTGGTTTCCAGAAATTTAGATTTAGAATCAGATGGGATTTTTATTTGACTAGGTTTGGGAGTACCAGAATCTGATCTCTCCTAAATTGCCACTTGCTGCATCAGTTAAAAATATGTTACTTAAACATTCTGGGAAACAACCTAGTCCACATTTGTATACCTAGTCTGAGTATACAATTAGCATGATTCTTGAACAAATGAATATTTATGCATCTAACTGTTAATGGTGGTAATTGAAGGTGAAAAGGAGATGTACCAATATACACAAGTTTGTGCATCAACCCTTTTGGAAAATGAGTTTTTACTACTATGCTGAAAAATAGATTAATTTTTTGTAAAATGTTCAGATTCATATTTGTATATTAATCTGATTGTATATAATAGTAAAATAAAGCTAAATATTTGTTAGTTCTGTTTAATATCTATAGATATCTCAACATCAAATAAGCCAAATGGGTGAAGAAAACGTGAGAAAAAGAAAGGGAGAGACTAACAGGGAAAGAGATGAACAATCCATCCAAAGTAAAGAGTCCAAAACTATGAATCTTCAGAAAGAGGCAAGAATGTTTTCTAAAATATTTACCTTAATCAGAGGGTTGTATAGCAATGCTAAATGTAACAGAGAAGCACAAGTATTTCAGTGAGGTTGTGGTTGATTTCTGTGTTAGTAATAAGTAGAACTAGTTGAAAATTTTCTAACACAACATTTTGACAGAAAATGCTGATTCATCAAAACCAAAATTTTTCACGGAAATGTATCCATTTTTGATAAAACTTTTGCTGGGAAACTGTCTCAAGCTCATATAGGGGAGAGACACCCCAGGATAGCCAATAGCCTAGTGATTAGGGCACTCATCTGGGATGTGGGAGACCCAGATTCAAATACCCTCTCTTCCTGATTTGGAGTGGAGACTTGAACCTGTCTCTCAGATATCCCAGGTGAAAGCTCTAGTCATTTGACTATATAGTAGTTCTCTCTCTGACACAATGAATATGTATTGATATGAAGTGGAACAACTCCAACACAAGAGATTGAAAAAGACACACCCCGGAACAGCCTGGTGTTTAGGGCACATATCTGTAGGAGACTCAGGTTCATGTCCCTGCTCCAAATCAAGTAGAGAAGGGACTCGAAACTGGGTCTCCCACATCCCAGACTACTGTCTATTTAGGTGACTCTTTCTCCCTTCTCTCTAAAAAATGTATAAGGTCTTAGGTCTGATGTGGAACAGGAAAACTTCTGAAGTCTCAAAAATTGTTGTCTCAGCTCTAGTCATAAATCAAAGTTCCCATTGATTATAAGAAAAAAATGTTGTTTATCTAACTCAAAGTCTGAAAACCACTTAAAAATTTGGTGAGTGGCACACAACAGATCCAGTAACATATAAGGTAAACTTTTCAAAAGCAGCTAAGCCACTTACGAGCCTAAGTCCCCTGGACTTTCAGTAGGCTTAGGCCTTCCTAACTCCATTAGTTGCTTTTGAAAATGTTACCCATACTGTCATGTATCACAGTTCCTCATCCTCATTTGTGAGAATCTTAAATAGCCAATGCCATAGAGAATATTCCAGAACATTATGGAAGACAACGGAGAATTCAACATTTTTGTCACTCGCACCTCTCTAACCTGTAAAGCTCTCATTAATTTCACTGCTCACATGTTTTCAGTGCAGTCTTATTTCAATTAATATGTATTTATACACTGTGTTCTCTAACCATTGAGAGGAAACTACAATATCCCCTCCAATTTCTCAAAATAGTTTCTATGACTCGTCTCAAATATCTCATGGATCTCAACAGGCGAGAGAGATGTTTGTAATCCAGGTTTGGTGGTGGGAGGGAGCATGAGGCATCAAAATATCAATGAGAAACCAAAAGTCCATTGGTGGCTAACAGGGCAAGTGGAAGAAGCCCATCCCATGGGGAAGATTTGATTTTTGGGGGGTGCCTTAACTTCTGGTGGCTCAGGGTCACATTTAATCTTAATCTACACTTGTATCTCAGGCCACTTTAGAGTAAGAAAGAGCACCTCCAACATGATGAAGAAAACTGTTCTAATCATCACTATTTTGTGTGTACATAACTTCCATTATAAACACGAAAGGGAGGAGAGAGACCCCACATGGAACAAGAAAAGGGTGTAATTCTTTATTTAGCAGCCATTTTGAGTTCTTATCAGCTGAGAGTCACTGAAGAGTATTTTGGAAACTCCTTACAGGGATCAGATTTTCAGCACAGAATACCAAAACACTTACAGGACCACACAGTGGAACTGAATCTTTCATTTTCTGAATCCTTACTGGCCAGGTGCTGAGTAAGTTCAACTTCCATTGTCTACTTCATAGGAGTTGAGGGCACTAAGTACTTTGCAAGATCAGACCCTTAAACGTGTAACAAGCCTGGTACCGTGCAACTTGCATCCTTCAAGCAAGATTAGCATTTAGCAAAGGTATGGCTATTTGCTTCAAACACCAGAAAGCTGCACACTAATACAGAAACCACAGTATTCAACTCACACATTTTTCTAGTGTCAATGGTTACAAATTGATGATGTATATTAGAATACTCCAAACAGTGCTTAAATCATTTAATAGTTGGTGTGCAATAAGTTTCACATGACAAACAGACATGGAGGTGCTCTTTTAGAGATAGGAATATATATATCTGTTTGTTCTGCTCCACACTGAAGACATAACTGCAGTTAGTAAGGATAAAGGTGACCGCATGGCACACTGTAAGCTGTAACTTATGCAGTTAATAGGTTCAGTTTTAATGCTGCAAACACATAAGCAAAATGCACTGTAATCATTATCCTTAAGTTAATTATAGACTGTCAGTTGTTAGAACCAGAGATAATCCTGAAACACTGCAATGTGAGAAAAATTCAGTATTGGCCAGTATGTCTGTTTAATATTTGGAACACATCACAGGATCTCACAAACGGCTTTTTATTGCAAACAGTAACAATATAATTAAAACTGTAATAGCATTTTGTTCTCACTTACTTCCATTCACTTTGTCTTCTATTAACAGGATTGCAAAGAGTTTTTTTGGCCCTGAACATCATGAAACAGGCATGCTGGAACAGTATGTTAGGACTGCATGTTCCTTAACTATCCACCAAAACTGTTGACTCTGGCCAAAATCCAAAGGAGTAAAAATCTTCCACTTCAATAGCATGATCAAGATACAGAAACTAAATGGAATCCTACCCAATTATGACCGAACATATTCTTGGTCTGAAAGTAGCAACTATGGATATCAGGAATAGGATTGCTGTGCATTGTGTTCAATGGACAGATCAGATTTGTAGAGAAATGTCGTGGCACTCAGCTTAAGATGTGCTCACAGTCCCATGTTTCTACCATAATTATCTGCTGTGAAATAGTTAGAATGATGACAAATTATCAAATTTCCATGGGAGGGGGAAACCTATATTAGCCAGGCTCTGCCTCTGCTTGTCTCCTTGTCAATAAAGCAACCAGTAGTCATGGGGCAAGGAAAAGATCATATAATAGTTAATATTTCAAATATTTACTTCTATGTTGACCTGCCCTTATAGTGCCCTCTCTGCTATCAAATGAGAGCAAAGTTAGTAAATTCCACTGTCCAAAACTAAATATCTATGTCTTGTCTGATCAGGATCTGATCAGGCTTCTTAGAATTTTAACCATGTAGGTTTCTGATTCCACAAACTAGTAACTAATTAATTACTCTCATCAACTGAGCACAACTCTCTAATTTTTTATTTTCCCTCAGCATGGACCTGTTTTTCTACAGTGAATGCTGACAACTATCAATGTGATGTGTGCTTTCTACTAGGAAACAGAGTACAACATATGTCTTGTTTAAAACAAAAAGCATCTCAAAATACAGAAGCAATTTCAGGGCTATTCTAAAAACACAAGCCTGATGAATAAATTCAAAACTATTTTGCATAGCAGTGATCTATGGCCTATGAATATTTGCCAACAATCATTGAGGTCTACTGTTGTCTTTTGCCATTTCAGTTTATTGTATCTTTAGATACATCAGGTCATATTAATTGTGTTTTTGAGAAAGGTGGCCATTATGCTGTATTATGGCATGTGAACACGTCTTAAAAATAGCAAATATGCAGTTAAGTTGTGTACATGTCTATCAATAGATCAATAAACAGAAGCTGCATGTGTGATGCCAGAAAAATTACTAATGGTGACGGTTCTCTCTCTCATCTAACAGCACAATAGCACAAGAAGTTAATATTGTTACCTTACTGGAATATCTCATTATTTCAAGGTGGGCCTGATCAGTGGGATCTGCGTTATTGTTGGTACAGTTATTGGCTCAGGCATCTTTATTTCTCCAAAGTCGGTACTTGCCAATGTTGGAGCTGTGGGGCCTTGTTTAGTCATCTGGGCAGCCTGCGGAATTCTTTCTACATTAGGTAAGCAAAAGAAAGGAAAAGTCTTTATATTTCCAGTTTTACTCTTGTATTCCATTATGAAAATTAGATGGTTCTGCTCACATCAAACCAAAATGCTAGCCAGCCACTGTGCTCAGTGGTTGGACAAAAACTTGCCACAAATTAAGAACATTAAGTATTAGAAGAAAACTGTACAAGTCAAATTTTCACTTGACCTTTAGATCTAGCCTCCTATTTTGCATATCCCACCAAATGGGAGCACAAACAAGACATATTCTGCTCCCATTGAAGTCAATGACAAAATAACCCAGTAATTTCAATGGGAGCAGAAGCAGGCCCACAGTGCATACCTACCTCCACAATTTCATTGTATAAAGCCCTGTTTGCAGGTGCAAAATTAGAGGCTAGTTTTTGAATTTTGGCCTTAAACAGGTAATATTTACATAAAATGTAAAACATTAAAACTGGACATAAATTTATAGTTTCTTATTGTTGGGCTCTGAGCAAAAGTGATGCAACTTTCAGCAAGTTGCCATCCATGAGCAATAAGCTCAGAAATGCCAATTGTATTTGAAAGCAACTCCTCATTGTGCTTTGTGACTTGTGCTGCTTTTTTCCCCGAGTTTTCAAACTACTGAGCCAGTACTGGATGCAGTTTTCCTTTAGTCTGCTGTTTCCGAATAGAATTCTGAGTTTCTAAACAGAAAACTAAAATAGAAATATTTGCCAAAAATATCTTAAACTACCTGAAAGCCCAATATAATAAAGGGTTTAAAAAACAAGGAATTAATCCAAAAGAATACGTTAGGAGTAAGTCATGTTATAGTCTGAGTATGTAACAATTTAAAATGAGTTTGTTATAATGTAAAGCAAATTAACCATGAGTTTGTAATGCAATAAATAAGCAAAAAATACAATGCAATTTTGAACTAATTATACAGACATCATGGAGTGAGGAAGTAAAACTCTCTCCTCTACATAGTCTGGAGGCACCTGTGTCTGGAATATTGCATTCAGTTCTAAGCAACTAAACATAGTTAAGTTAGCAAGAATTGTTTACAAACTGAGTCTGCAAAAATAGTCTTAAATTAGGCACTCATAACTATAATATCTAATCAGTAACTTGTTAGTTTCCAATAATTTTCTAACTTATGGAACTGCCTTTGGCAAATTATAATTTTTTAAAAATTCAGTCACTATTTACTTATGATGTTATACAAATATAATGAAATATAGCATGTGTTTACAGCCATTTCCTTAATTTTATATTAATTATAACATTTAATGAGCTAATTAAAACCAAACATAGCTTAAAGAAGTGTATAAACTAAAAGCACTTGACTATTAACTCCATTTCTTTTTGTTCAGGTGCGCTATGTTATGCTGAGCTAGGCACAATGATCGCAAAATCAGGGGGAGAATATCCTTACCTTATGGAAGCATTTGGTCCTATTCCAGCATATTTGTTTTCCTGGACTAGTTTATTGGTCATCAAACCCAGTTCATTTGCTATCATTTGTCTCAGCTTCGCAGAATATGCTTCAGCTCCTTTTTATCCAGGCTGTGATCCACCCGTAGTAGTCATTAAGTGTCTTGCAGCAGCTGCCATTGGTAAGATCTCTATTTTTTTTAAAGGGGACTGAGTTATGAAACTGTGTAGCGTTCATGAATTAATTTTTCCCAGGAATGTAGGAGGAGCCTCATCTCTTAAATATTAAAACCTAGTATGCATAAATCACTAGAATACCATACAGAAAACTGTATTAGTGGGAACAATTTTGCATTGGAAGAGGGCTAGACTTGATGACTGATACCTAATATATCTAATGCCTCTCATAACACTGATAGAAAGGGTGAGTTTAACTTAAAGGAAGCTTCACTTCCAGGGTTAGAAGGTCTGAACAATCAGGTTTCTTCCTTATATAGTTATCTATACACCCTATTACTGAGTATGAACTAAGAAGCATGTGCATCTCTAGGAAAGAATGAAAAGAAAAAAAATAGTCCAAGCTTATATTCTCTAGATCAGTGGTTCCCAAACTTGTTCTGCCGCTTGTGCAGGGAAAGCCCCTGGCGGGCCGGACCGGTTTACCTGCCGCGTCCGCAGGTTCGGCCGATAGCGGCTCCCAGTGGCCGCGGTTCGCTGCTCCAGGCCAATGGGAGCTGCTGGAAGCGGCACGGGCCAAGGAACACACTGGCTGCCACTTCCAGCAGCTCCCATTGGCCTGGAGCAGCGAACCGCGGCCACCGGGAGCCGCGATCGGCCGAACCTGCGGACGCAGCAGGTAAACCGGCCCAGCCCGCCAGGGGCTTTCCCTGCACAAGCGGCGGAACACTTGTATGGGAACCACTGTTCTAGATCCCAACTTTTAAAAATAGATCCCAAAGTTATCCCAACTTTTAAAAATATTTTTCAAGAGAGACTGCCAAGAAATCCTCAGTTTCAGAAAATTGTTCTCATTCTTTAGAACAATCCATCAAATGCAGGAAATTGTAATAATTACATGGAATTTACAAATCAATATAAGAAACAAGATATACATATTTGGGTGTCTGAACCGAAGATAAAAAATTATATTGTGAATGTATCTTTAAACTCAATTATTATAGTGCTATGATTTATGGCATTTAAACTGAAAAATATAATCTTTATTTCCCCTAGTGATTATTACCACAGTGAATTCGCTGAGTGTGAAGTTGGGGAGCTATGTTCAGAATTTTTTCACTGCTGCTAAAATGATCATTGTCATAATCATTATTGTAAGTGGAATTGTTCTCCTTGCACAAGGTAATTTAATTTTTGTTGGTTTTAGATTTACAAAGATAGTAACTTAGAGAGTACTTTTGTTTCTGCCGTGACTTGCTACTGGATCATTCACTGAAAAACGAAGCAAACAAGCAATGATCAGATTATTCTAATTTAATATGTTTTTGATACCAGATCCCGTTGACTGCCCTGTTGTCTTTTAGGAAAGAATTACTATTTAAGTGTTCACTTTAACTGTCAAAGTGCTATACAAAATAAAATTTGATCATGAAATGTTGCTTTCATTCAGTGGTGATTGTTTCATTTTGCCTCAGCATAGTTCAGTATCAATTGTTTCATTTGCAGGAAAAACAGAAAATTTTAAAAACTCTTTCAATGATGCTAAAATTTCTGCTGGTTCTATCAGTTTGGCATTTTATAATGGACTCTGGGCCTATGATGGATGGTAAGATTTTTTTACTACTGTTATCAATTACTATTTAAGAGTAACAGATTTTATCTCTACTTGTAAAACTCACCTAAACGTCTTATTTGGGAAAGTTGAAGTTTGACTTCTTGTTCTGGAGAATAATTGTAGAGAGCATTGGAAAAAGAGCACTACCACCTTAAAATAAAACCAAACAAAGCACCATGCCCTAGGGGGAAGATACCCGACTAGACCACAAGAGGATACATGGTGTAAGGTGCTCAGATACTGTGGGGGTGAAGCTGGTGTAGGACCATAAAGTTACATTCTTTCCATTCAGAAATTTGAGCCATTGCCCTAGTATCACTTGGAAGTTAGTTTGTTTTTAACCTCCTCACTCTAGCATCACATACAAAACATTTTTCTGAAGTTGTGTGAATTTTAGTATTCAAGACATATGTCAGACTGATTAGCACTTGAGACTGAATCTTCTTTTAATTCAATGAACAGATATATCCTGAGTAGCACATAGTGCAAGCTTCTATACACTGCTTCAAATCCTGCTCTGGTGGGACCATCTCTACAGATTTTCATGTCCTTAGCGCCTCTGTAATGATTGCCAATATGGGCAATCTATTAGTGCCAAATATATATGTGGCTATGGATATATTTATAGACTGTGTATGTATACGTTCTTGATATGAACTAGGGAAAAATGCATTGGATTTTTCAGCCCATGTGGTTCATCTTTTATTACTATTTACTTCATGTTCCATTTCTCTTGTATTAAACAAAAACAAAAACAAAAAAAGGGAGCCCCTCCAGTGTCCAAAACAATATTTCCATATTCCCACATCTGTTTACCCACTGAACTCCAAAGCCCTAGCTAAAAGTGACTGCTTTATGTTTAAAATATATTCAAATTGAATGCTTATAGATTTATTTCATAAAATTATTTCTTCACTATCCAACAGAAAACTACAGAATAGTATTTCCCAATACTTAATTATTTTAACCACCCAAGAAGTCTACACTTTCTGAATATATTTAATTAAACAATATTAAGTTCAATATTAAAACAATGTGGATACATTTTCATCTCCTTTGATTCCTAGGAAGGGGTTTACACATTTCAGGCCTTGATCCTGCAAGGAAAACCATAGGTGAGCAGGGGTCTATGCGCATGATTCACCTTGCAGGATTGGGGCATCAGTTTGGGCTACCTCCACTTCAGGGACCTTACAAAAATGCAGGCTTTGTTTTTCTTGACTCAGCTATGACACATCAATACTGTTGTCACTCAGCCTTGAAAAGTCTTTATTTAGCTCCCTATTCAACAAGGTAATTAAGCACGTACTTAATTTTAAGCACCAGAGTAAGGGACTACTCATGTGTCTAACTTTAAGCACATGCTTAAATACTTTGCTGCATATTGACCTTAATCTTTCAAGGTTCAGTTTTCAAACTCAAATGCCTAAAATCAGGTTATTTATCAGTTATTTAGCTAACTGCCTAAAGCTTATTTAGATGCCTAAATATTGAATTGAATGTTTAATTTTAGCCACTCAGGTTTGAAAATTAGTCTCTAATATCTGTAGATAACTGCCAACTCTTTTCACATTTCTATCAATCACAGAAGCATAAAAAAACCACACATGTGTCAATCCTCTACAATTACGAGCACAAAACAGTCTGGTTTAAAAATAACACAGTCTAATGAAAATGAGTATTTTAAATTTGTCATTCTGGTGGTTGCAAAAACTTTATACAAGTTTTCATGAAAGCCTTGTGGATAAGAGATTATATAACTCGCATTATTTAATTGCTAAATGATAGTATTTGCACTAAGGCACTAAGTAGGGTGGCCATAAATTCCTTTTTAAGCCCTGTCCCGGCCGTTCCACCTTTTTTTTTTGGTGTGCAAAAGTGGGCATTTGTCCCATTTGCTCTTGTTGACTCGATCGGTTAGCAACAGCAAACAGGAGAAATGCTCACTTTTGTCAAAAAAGTGGGGTGCAGTGCAGAGGAACATGCAGAGGGGTAAGTGGAGATGCTAGCCCCACGTGGGGGCTTGGGCGAACAGCTGGGGGTTTCCCATTTTCCCTTTGGGAAATATGGTCACCCTAGCACTAAGGTTTGTAGTTGGTGTACAAATGTTTTTATTAGAAAAGATTCATGTTTTCCAGAACTTGTGGAGGTCACAAGCAGCCTTGTGGCATGTGAGCTTTGTTGAAAACCTGCCATTAATCCAAGCAATTTGTCTGTCTGACGTACTGGCAGTACTCTAGCTAGATTCTTACACTTTGGCAATTACACATTACCTGAGCAATACACTTTAACACCACACTGTGCTACAGTCCCTTCTACTCAAAGTACTTACAAAAAAATCCAAACCCCTAAACCTTGCAATGCCATTGACATTATTCATCTCATATTACAGATGAGAAAAGTGAGGCACAGAGAGGTTAAGGGACTTGTCCAGTTACATATAATGAAACAGAAGCAGACCTGGGTATAGAACCCAGATCTAATTCCATGTCATATGCTTTGGTTAAGTTAAGGAGCTTACCTGGTCTACATTTTTTTTTCTTGTTAGAGGTTGAATAGCAGCAACAGTGATGTCAGAAATAAAGACCTGACTTTCAAGTAATTTGGCATTTCAGGATCTGATTACGAATAACCTTCTGCTAATGGATTTTTTGCAGGAATCAACTCAATTACATTACAGAAGAACTTAAAAATCCTTACAGGTAAGGCAACCAAAAGATAACCTAGAAAACAAGAAAGGCACAATTTCTAATGCCACATCAGATCATTAGAAGGCTTAATAGCAGCTGCATATTTTACTCTCCCTCTGGTTAAGAACTGGGCACTCAGAAGTTCTGGTGCTTGTTCACAAAGGAATAATTTCATTAGCATTTATTCTGTTTTTTACACTGATTACTGTATACTTGTGAATCATCTCTAATTAATTATTCATTTCCATGACTTTACAATGCAATGAGTACAGAGAATGCATGCTAATTAATTCTTTTCCATCCCCTTGCTGACTGCTACTTTGGATTTAATAGAGTCTTTAATTTTTGATTAGCATCCACACGGATGTCAGGGAGGTTTCAATCTTATTATTATAGAAATAAATAGTGGGGAAAGCCCCTCTAGAGTATAGAAAATTGCCTGAATACAGACTATATCATTACCTTCAATGTGCATACACAATTCCCATTAGGAGTGAGAAGTTGTGTGCTAAAGTCAAGAGAAACTACCAAAAGTTCATTCAGAAGTAATCGCAGGCCTAGAGACACATACATCAAGCTTCCTATCTTCCTAGATAATCTAGAATTTCTCTTCTAGAAAATCTTAAGAGTGCATAGTAGTTACATTAATGACCATTTAAAAAAAATAGATTTCTTCCCAACCTGTAAAATGGGTTTCTCAAAGTGTAAGTCTAGTAACCCTGACTTCTCTTCACAGGTGATTGACAGGCAGGCAGCCAGTACAGAAAAAGAAGAGGCTCCCACCACAAGAAGTCACTGCTGCTAGTACACACAGAAGAACCAGGAGAGTGACTCCCCTAGAATTAATTCACTAACAGAACTGGTTATCATCCAACACCATCTATGTGGAACAATAATAACTAGGTGGGCATATGGACTACTGGAGCTACTCTCCCAGAGACCAATTTTACAGATAGGGAACAAATCCCTTTTCTGCAGCAAGTAGCCCCAGTAATCCATATGAGTGGACTCAAATGTCAGTACCAATCAGCTGAACTAGGATGGAAAAAACCTCTGTGCCAAGACTCTTTAAAAATATACCAGATTAAACGGGATTGTTGAATTTAGAATGTGTCGACCAAAATTTGCATTAGATAAGGCAACAACATCCATATGCTTACTAAACTTTAAGTGCACTTCCAGATGATTATGTAAATCTTGTTTACAGAGGCTGCCTCCTCCTCAATTTTCCTGCCGAAGAGGGAGCCTGTCCCTTGGTCTTCATGAGCTTTTACTTTGTTGAATCCACTGAGAAATCGATGATTTTCAAGATGCTTTGCATTTTTGCACTACAAAACAGTCTCAGTGGTAATCAGTTGATTGAATATTATCCTCCCTATGCAAATACTTGAACCTGGGCGAGTACGTGCAGGATCCTTTCCTTTTGAGACATGCCTGGGAAGTCAAGATTTTTGAGGGGGTAGGGAACTCTTTTGGAAAGGAAGAACTTTCAGGCTTCAAAGAGTGGCCACTTTCCACAGGGATTCTTGTTCTTGTGGTCTTAGAGAGGGACTGACCTCTGCAGTTAGGCCAAGTGAGAGAGGCAGCAGCTGTGGAAACTTTGGCTTCCAAGTGAGCTCTAGATCAATGAAGGCACAGGGGAGGGGAAGGCACCATCAGAGGGGAGCCAGCAGCAGGATGTCTGAATGTGGGGAAAAACTCATGTGCTTGTGATGCCAGGACAGGTCAACATGGAGGGCTTTACTTTTATTTCTGTGAGCTGAGTCAGAAATAAGAGACCACCTGTTTATGAAAAAAGTAGCAGAGGTCTGTATTATTAGACTCAGCAGTCAGCTGGGTCTTGAGGTGGAAGAGATACACGCCCGGGCATTTCAGGCCATAGGTCCTTCTGTATCTGCTTACTGGCCACTGCAAAAAGAACAGTTGATAAGGTCTAATTTTTACCCATGGTTTTGCATGCATCTTCCTAAGAAAAAAAAGTCCCTGCTAGCAGCTGCACATCATGCTCCTCATGCAAGAGGTAAAACAGAAACTAGACTCAATGCACAGTAGCACTACTCTGCCCTTGTGGAAGGGGACTCTCCTTTTCTTCTGACTCATCAGCTGCCTGCCAATCACCTGTGGAAAGAGGAGGAGCCATCAGTATGAATTACTTGAGGTACTGGCTGCAAAAAGGAATACCTGTGAATGTAGAATTTGTAAAAACAAATTTTATCAAATTGTAAGAGTAACAAAAATGTTTGTTGTTAAATGGAAATAAAAACAGGGCGGGCTGGGGATTTACCCATTCCCCGGCAGTTGCGAAAATCCAGTAAATATAACATATTGTTCTAGTCAGAGCACACAGAGCATTGATCTGCTCTGCCAGATACACGTGGGTCAGGTACAGTCAGATCCAATTTGTATGAAGTTGTGACTCACCTTTGCATCAATCCCATGAGTGAATAGCTACTATGTTATTACATGAGAACTAGAAAGTACATGCACCAGGAATACCCAACTGTAATTTCACTTTACTCAGCTTAGTGAAAAATGAGAACAAACAGCATAAATGTTGAAAAAGGAATTTAAATTTTAAAAATTCTTTCAATTTTAACCACCCATGATAGCATAAGTAACACAGGTACTGAATTCCTAAAAACATGATTGTCCTGAACAGCGATCCTTCAGTCTTAACACAATGATTCATATACAATATTTACTAGTTAAGATATCCGTGATTTTTTTAGAATCCTAAATTTGAACTAAAACAGGAAAGAGCCTACAGTCCATTATAATAAAACTGCCTAGTGGTTTAGAAATGCTGATACTATGTTTTTACATTCTGTAGAAATCTACCACTTTCTATAATCATTGGAATCCCATTGGTTTCAGTTTGCTATGTTCTGATTAATATTTCATATTTCACAATAATGACTTCAACAGAACTTCTGCAGTCCCAGGCGGTCGCTGTGGTAAGCCACTTTTCATTTTGTGATTAGAAGTACCAAGTGAGACACTATTTTTGTTGCAGGGCTGAGTCCAAATAATAAAAAAATCCTAACTTTCTTGGCTTTCAGGAAAGAATTTTTCAGTACCATTGTACATTTTTAAACTCTATCAATATTTTAATTAGGTCACAGAGGTAAAAGTATCTTTTTGAAATTAGTTTGTAGAAAGTGAAAATTTAGTATGCATGAGATATCTTATCTTCTACAGGAAATCTTCAGTGTATTTGCAGTTTAGTGATGCTTTTATTCCACAATGCTTAGTGAGGGGGACATGACAATTATTTTCACTGGTAAACATCTTGAATCCCTGGTTGTATCCATCTCTACATTAGTTCTGGGGGGGGGGGGGAACAAACAATTCATGACACGCTGCATTCTGCATGCACAGCACAGTGAAGAGGAGCATCCATGCAGAAATACTTCATGTAGCAATGAACGTTGTACAGGCAAATATACTCTTGCTTTTAGAGAGCTGGATTCTGGTATATTTCAATATCCTGCCTACTCACAAAAATGGCTGCAAAGCAGAGATTGATGCAATGTGCATGCATACTTTACTTAAAACGCAGCTAGGTAATCTGATTTTAGGATTACTAGTCTTGAGTGTCCCTATCAACATATTATTAAATTATATCAATGGTATTACATCAGCTACTATTAAATTGATCAAACTGCATCAACACTGAGCATATAAGCCTGCAGAAATATCTCATTTGATCTCAAAAGCTAAGCAAGGTCAGGGCAGGATGGCAGGTTACCCAGAAAACATAGGGTACTTAAGAGAGGCCCTGAGACTCACCTATATTTAAGTTCCCATGCCACTTTTAGCAAAAGTAAGGATGTTAGTGCTGGTATCTTGATCAGATTCCAATTTGACATGTTCAGTATCTAAATTCCCTCTACTTTCAGTTGGATGTGATACTCTTAGATTCTTGTCTTAAATTGCTGTATAGTAGCATTGGGTCATAGCAACACAACTATTGTGTTGTAGTCTCAAGGTTCTTTCATTAGAATGGTAGGTGAAGTAATTATTGTATATAGTTTGCAAAATAATTTGGGATAAAAGCAAGCTATGTAAAATTATATTAATATAGATTTTTTGGAAAGGTAAAATATATTTTTAAAGTTCATTTACGTATATCTGATTGGTTCCTACACCAGTGGACACACTACAAAGTGGAAAAATGATAGATGTTATATTAATGTGTCATTTTAATCCTCTGGTCCCAGACATTTGGTGATCGGGTCCTTTATCCAGCTTCTTGGATAGTTCCTCTCTTTGTGGCCTTTTCTACAATTGGAGCAGCCAATGGGACCTGTTTTACTGCTGGAAGGTAAATTTTAACTCTAAATAGCAGAATACATTATTGGATTTACAGAAAGAAGTTATATAATGTCTTCTAAGTCTAGGGTTCAATTTAAACAAGTGATTGAACAAAATACCTGCAAACTTAGTCATGTAGCCCATCCTCAGCAAGGACCAGTAGCTATGAAAGGTTGAGAAAGCTAGAAAATAAGAGATTAAAGATTTTCCTAAAATGCCTGTAAACAAGTACAGGCTTCTTTCAGCTAAAAAACAACAACAATTCTTTAAAAATAACAAACAGTCACCTGAAAATGAAAAATTAAAGAGGTTATAACTTTAACTAGTTTTGTGCGTGTACAAATATTTGAGAGGTTTGCAAAACCTCATACTTCACAAGGTTTCTAAATCCCTAAAATCATACAACGTGAAATTACATTTGTGCTGAAAGTGTTGTGATGAATTTTTTTTAAGGGAGAGGAAAACAATGGTTTTCTCTGAATTAATTAACCACTTTCACTTCTGTGCTCAATGGAGTTAGGCACTTGTTTTGAAAGCAGTTATAATTCCTCCTCCACAACCAGTGTGATTGTTCCCTACACGCTAGCAAATATTAAATTAGGCTTGATGCACTTGAGAAGCATATATAGATATAGCCGAGAGAGAGAGAGAGAATAGTTAAATGGCACTCTGTGAAGAATATTGAGTATTTGGAGATATCTGAAAAATAGAACCACTTGAATCTGTGTAGATGCCCCACTAACCAGCTTAATGTGTTTTTGTTTTGTCAGACTTGTTTATGTAGCAGGTCGTGAAGGGCACATGCTAAAGGTGCTGTCTTACATTAGTGTTAAACGTTTCACCCCAGCACCTGCTATCATATTTTATGTAAGTATGAATGCTAAGCAAAGCAATAAAACTTTCAGCTAAAAAAAATCTAAAATACTCAGATGTGAAGTTACATTGGCTCTTCAAATGACACAATGGTGATCTCAACATGCTATCCCTACACATACTTTCATGCACATGTAGTTACATATACAGGGAAATAGCTGAAATATTCTTTTATACATCAAAAAGACTATGTAATACATAAAAACAGATCAACTTGAATCTAACTCCATACCAGATGCAGATTCTCCGTGTTTTAAAGTTCATAGAATTGGAATGTTAAAATGCAACTCTTTCAATTTTAGGAAAGAAGTAGGGTACTGACAATGAAAATCAGCTATGTAGAGTAAAATTATCTTGATGGTCAAACTGGCTCACTGCAGGGTTTCTGTAAATACAAGAAATCTAGGAATTTTTTCTCCTGCAAACATTCATGGCCTGTAAAATAGATGTCATAAATTTGACAGATTCATTATGTATATATGTAGCATCAATATAAACACTTTATCCTGCTTAGCAAGTAGGTTTATACAAGCAGGAAAGAAGATTTGTATCGTGTTGGCACATATCTTGCAAGCACTTATGCACATACTGAACTTCAAGCATGACTTCAATGGGATTACTCATACTCAAAATTAAGCACATATGCTTGCAGGATCAGGCCATTCTCAGGAAAGGGTACCAAGTATGCTGAATTTTTGCTGAATCTTCACCATAAAGCAGAGCAAAAACACATACACTCATTGCGTATGGGATCAGTGTGAATGTAAAACTGTGCCCTCCATAAAAGTGAGTGTGCCATTCTTCCTTGCTACACCGACTGTCTTATCAAGTCCACATTAAATTTTCATATTTTATTTTTAGGGTGCCATTGCTATTATTTATATCATCCCTGGAGACATTAATACACTCATAAACTACTTTAGTTTTGCCGTCTGGATATTTTATGGTTTGACTGTATTTGCACTCATAGTTATGAGATTTACAAGAAAAGAGCTCAAAAGACCAATCAAGGTAAGTTCAGTACTAGAACACATTTCTAAACATATTAAAAATGAACCAATCATGGACCTCAGGATTGTAAGAAAAGTGGCTCTCCACTACTGGTATTCCTCCACCCCCATTAACAAGAAGGCATGGACTTGTCCAGGGAGTTTGGAATATTGAAAAACATACTGGAGAAGTTGATCCCTTTCCTTTGAAGATCATTTTGTCCCAGGAAACTACTACTTAGTATAGTTCCTTTTCCTTGAGAATGAACAGAGAGACAGGCAGAGGGTCAGAGAAGTACAGGTCTTAGCATCTTGTCCATACTGACACACCTCTGCTGCCTGCCATAGTGAAAGGGTGAGGGAAAAAGGAAAGAAATCTAGCTGCAGATAATGAAGAAGGGGTGGGAAGCTGCAACCAGAGTGACCATGATAGGTCACAATGAGTTGGTGGCAGGACCCTTCTGGAGAGTTCATCCTACTGAAGTTCAGGTTTATGATTTACAATGAATTCATTACAGTTCTAGCATTGGGACCAATAGCATAGCCAGAGTGGTCTTAGTCTGTGACATAGCCAAACTGACCCTCTGCTGCTGCTGAGCCTCTCAACCATTTCACTAATTTCCTGAACTCTCTTCTGAATATTTTTTAAAAAATATCAGAAATGAGATAAAAATAACTTCTCACATTCAACAAGCTATGTAGTAAATGTATGCAATATGAAGAAAAAATGGCCACAGAATTCGCTAAATACTTTTATGCTTTGTCTATTACAGATACCTATCGTCATTCCCATCTTAGTGACAATAGTCTCCATTTTACTAGTTTTGGCACCAATCATCAGTGAACCTGAATGGGCATATCTCTACTGTGTTTTATTTATGCTTGGAGGACTTATATTTTATGTCCTTTTCATTCATTTTAAATTCAACTGGGCTCAAAAAATATCAAGTAAGTATATATATTACAGGTGATTTGACAAACAACGGTTTCCATTAAATAAGGCATACAACAGGATACTCTAAGATGTAGCAACCACTCCTTTCTCCCCTGAGTAAATATTCTCGTTATAGTCAACCATCACATCTAACTTACATTGAGAGAAAGGCATGATCTTTTGATATAAGCATAGCAAAAATTGCTAGGAGCTATTGAATTCTAATTCAAGCTCTTTAGCACATTACATCTTTGCTTCAGTTTTTTCCTGTGTACAAATTGAGATAACATAAAATTTGATGAGATTTAGTTCATAAAATGCTTTGAAGAAAAGTGATACATACCAGTGTGTCAGTGCAAAGGCTATATGAAATAGCTTACCGTAAGTTTCCACAGGCAATATCCTTTTAACTCGTTTTTATTTAAGGTGAAAATTTGAACCGTTCAATTCTCCTGGGTAATTTAGAAGTCGAAATAAATTGGAAATTCCCTAGCCAGTAACTGAAGTGACTTTAAATACACCTAGCTATTTTCTGTTCTGGCACTTACCTTGCACTCAGATCTCTTTCAAGATTTAGTATCTTCACAATCAGTCTAACAAAGACAAAATTAACAGCATGAAAGGGAAACTAAAATGACAGCCTTAGGGCTTGTGTACAGAGGGTTAGTGTGCAGCAAGCTGAGACGTAAATATACAGTGCACTAGTTTGCCATGCACTGATTGGACATGTGGACCCTGCTACCATGCATTCAAACTTCCAGTGTGCGCAAGTGAGAGGAAAATGATTATGTTTTAGCAGTGACCTTACAGGTCTGTTTATGAAGTGACTTACAGTCTTCTTTAAAAGTACAATTCCTAACTATTTTCTGGGGGAGATGGAAGATGCAATGAGACACTACTGAAAGGGAAAGTTGGACTGGTTCTAAAAGGATATAAATCCCACATTATTGGTATTCCTTACAAAAAAAAATCCATCTGCCCACAAAACTAAAGCTACTTTATATTACATTATGAAAGGCAGTGTAGTCTACTATAATGAGCACAAAACTGGGAGCCTGGAATTTCTGAATTCACATCCCAAATCAGGGGTGCTGGAACAATTTGTACATGGGGGTGCTAAGAGCCATTGAACCAAACTGTAAACCCTGTATATGATGGAAACCACTTCAAGCCAGGGGGTGCTGCAGTTTCAGAACCTATGTCCCAAATCTGCTACCAATTTACTCTTTGGTCATAGGCAAGTTTTGTCTTCCCCGTCTGTAGAGTGGGGAAAATAAATGCTTATGCATGTAACATTACACTGAGTTATTGAAATGGTGTAAACTTGAATTAAACTATATAGTTAACATTGCCAAAGGCCTTTTAAAACTTGTGTTAAACATCTCTAACCACAATAACTTATTTTCAGGGCCCATCACCATGTACCTTCAGATGCTTCTAGAAGTTGTTCCACCAGAGAAAGTTCCTGAATAAAAAGATTTGATTTCCAGTAGTCTATTTTTAAGTACTATAATGTTTGTGAGGCAGCTTGAATAGTTTAAATGTTTATGCTTGCTAAATTCAGACTTTTTCATCCTGATGTGCCGTTTTATTTTTGCAACAATTATAATTTATAAGTATGTTTTCAATATTATCTTAAGAACATGATAAACAGACGTTTTCTGTGCATGGAATTCTATCTAGATCTGGATGGCTTTATTGTTTTGACTGCTACTCTGCTAATATGATTAGCAGATTGCACATACACAATAGGAACTATTTTCAGCTATAGGAGTGGTGAATAAAGAGAAATTCATTCACCAGTAAAGGAGTTTGTCAGAATCCCTCCTCTTCTGCCATCCTGCTGAAAGGATTTATAGCATGATCTATCAGGAAAAACAGAGGCAAAGCATAGTGAAAGCCTACGTGCATATTAGGCTGACTCCAACCTCAACCTGTCAGGTCAGTCAAAAACTGGAAATCCCCAGAAGAAAAGACAAGGAAAACAGAAAGTGAGGGTTGTAGGCATGCACTGGAAAACTCTTAACTAGTGAGTAAATTTCCTTTGTTGATTGTTTCCCTTTCCTTCCATCCTGCTGGAAGTATGGAACAGTAAGCAGACAATGCAAGAAATATTCTAAGCAAGGAGGTGGGCTTTTACAAGATGCAGCATCCAAAATCTGCCTCCACAGAGGGCTCAAGGTCCACTCAGTAGTGACTGACGAAGACATGAGGTGAATAATAGAGGGTGGTCTTGCAGTTCCTGAGGTCCACGGCTTTTGCTCTCCCTAACCAAGAAGTAGCCAGGCAGAGTATCCTTTCTGAAAGCAGAGGGGATTTAAACTACCCACTAAGTCAGATTTACATGCACTTTCAACATACTGCAAGTAGCAGCAAATAAAACTGGATAGCTGTCTTTACATCTAGCGTGTGAAGAGTGCGCTTGAGGCTGGAAGAAAGGTTCAGGTAAAAGGTGGATAGAACAAATGGTTCATTTATGTAGCACACTTTCCTTGGGAAAGAATTCTGGAAGCAAATGAAATACTAACTTGTTTAGAAACACTGCAGATAAGCAGGGTTGAAAAGGAATGTGAATCCCCCAACACAAGCTGAAGTAATAGTAACTAGCAGGGTAATCATGACAGTTCATATAGTTCCAGGGTTATATCTCTCAGCAGTTGAAGGGAGAACAGCAGACATGTTTAAGGACCCATGAAGGTCCCATTGAGGGATAATGGCTCTGAAATTGGGTTTTTAGGCCAGGGGTTCTGAGAAACTTGGTAGCGTATGCTTTGGATCCCAAGGAAGCAAACCCTCCAAGAGCCCCTAAAAGCAGAGACCTGTATTCTGACGGAACATAGCTTGTTGAAACCCACTAGGATATATTCTAAGATATGGTAAAGGAAAAAAGGAGGATGAAGAAATCTGTTTCTAGAACGATCAGTCAGAAAAGGTTACCCAGATTCTGGAATATGTCTCCTTAGTCAAAGCTTTCTGACTATTCAGCAAGACCTTAGCAATGTCACAGGAAAAATAATCTGCTAGGAGCAGAGATCACTCACCCTCCAGCTTGTAAGGTTCACGAAGACTAGGTTGTGGAAGGGAGCTGAACCTTGACAAAGCAAGTCTGGGCAGAGAGAAAGAGACTCTCTGGCCCACTGAGATGGCTAAGAGTTCACAGAACCAAGTCCTCTGTGATCACCTGGGGAGGGATTAGAGAAAGGTCTCTGCTTTGTCTATCCGGATCTTCGGCAGTAAGAGAATAGGAGGGAACACATATCTAAACGCCTTACTCCAATCCCAGGAAAAGGCATCCCATTTCATGGTCACAGGATCAGAAGAGTGGGAAGCAGCAGCTGGGGAGGTTAGGTACCTGTAGGCGAACAAATCCATTGAGAGAGTGTTCCACCAACGACTAAGTGAGATGTATACATCTAGCTGCAAACTCCATTTCCCTTGAGATAAGGATTGGCAAAGAAAACAGTCTGAGAGAAGGCAAGTTAATTTCTGCCCAAGAGCAGAGTGCTAAAGCTTCCCTTAGGAGCAGAGGACTGAGGGTGCTCCTCTGACAGTTGATGTAGGCTCAGCTGTCACAGTGGATTTTTACACGCTAATCTAGAGTCTGAGGGCCAAGCCAATGTCTCTGTTTCAAAAGACTAAGTAACTGGTATTCTTCAGGGGGAATCAGCAGTCCTGACAGAAGAGGCTCCCCCCTCCACACAAACATACACCTGAAAAGGATGGCATCCAAAGTAATTGCAGCAGGAGACTGCAGAACTGGAGGCCCAGAAGCAGATTGTGGTCCGCCACTACCCCACTCCCTGACCAAAGAAAGAACAGGGGTTCGTACAAGAAGAAAGGATTATGTACTGTAAATGTGGTTCTTTGAGATGTGATTCAGATGAATGCAAGCTCAGCACACCAGAGCTGGAGAATTTTGCCTAACAGTACCATAAAGGGGTGGTACTTGCGCCTCGTGGCCATAGCTCCATCTCTAGCTGTATGAGGCAGTGCCGCCCTGATCCCCCTCAGTTTTTTCGCACCAAATGCCCAGAGACTAGACTCTGATACAGAGGGGGTCATGGAATACACATCTGCATCACATCTTGGAGAACCACAATTACAGTATGTAACCTTTTCTTTTTCGATTAGATGCGGCCATGTATTTCACTTCCATGACTTGTAAACAGACTTAATCCCACTTCCTGCAGATCCTATTTAAACAGGGACTGCAGGACCACCTTCCCAAAGTTTGCATCAGCTCTGGATCCCACAATAATGGCATAATGGTTCAAAAAAGTATGCATCCATGACCATGTGGAAACCCTGCAAATATCCAATATTGAAACATCACTTAAGAACACTATTGACATAGCTTACACTCTTAGGCTTGGTCTACACTACCCCCCTAATTCGAACTAAGGTACGCAACGTCTGCTACGT